AACAAGCAAACTACAACAGTTGACTTATTGTCCATAAGAATAACATGGTAATTTTAAAATTAAATTTATTTTGATTTTTCTCTGTAACAATTAGGCGCATAATAACGCTTCAACATACTAAATTATTTGTTTTTTAAGCTCTACAAAATGGTTTAGAAAGAAATTGTGTAACTTTGTGTTTTTAGGGTCAAAAATGGGAAAACCTATTTTTACCGCATAAAACCCCCCATAAACCCCTGTTCCCATAGTCCGATCATCCTGGTTCGCGAACTCGTTCATTTTTATCCTCCATTACACCTTTAAACCTAATTTTATCAAAATCCAACAAAAATTACTCAAGTTATCGTGCAGATGGACACATATATATACTTACTAGCTGTGTGCCCGTTCTACGCACGGGGATCTTATAGTAGTCAGTTGAAACCTTCTTATTTAAGATTAAGAACAGCAGTTAGTTTGCATATTTGCAGATATGCTGGCAAAACTATTATATATAAACCTTCGCAAATACAGTATCTGACAGTTCAAGCCAAAATAAATGCTTCGCAATTAAATGTCACCCGGATCGTTATGGTCCATATGTCCAATGAATAAACTAAAAAATGTTTTATAGATCCATGAAGCGTAGCCCTAAAGTAGGCCCACAATTGAAAGTTACTTTCCACATCGGTTAACTTAAACGTATTTAAAGTACTACCTCAACCTCACCATTTAACACTTTATTCCGGTTGACATTTTCAGTATCAAAGGTGCTCTTGTCCATTCCGTGAAACACTGAGAAATAAGGACATTAATGCGTTACCAACAGACATACACACAACAATCCAAAAAAGGCCACGAACTATTGATACATAAACAATATAAAGGCGTAAACAATTCATGATGGTTTGCCCAACAAATGTTTTACTCAAATAGGTTGTCATTTTCTTAGCATACCGGGTAAGCTAAGATTTGGAATCCAGACAGAAAAAGCAAAACTTATACAGAGTTAAGACATCACTTAAATTGAATACGGACGGCTCTAATAAATAAGGTGCAACACCAACGATAACTAATTTGTAAACTACAGTGATGTGTTGGTACCTACGTAAAAATGATTCTAGCAGCTACCAACGGTTCTAAGGAAAAGAACCAGTACCTACGTAAGAACCTACCTAAGAACTATAGTACATCCGACCAATTAAATACATTAATATCTAGTCCCGAGGTTATTGATCTCTTGCTTTTGGATTTTCTCGTAAAAAGTTATAGCGTAAACTTATCGGTGTCAGTTTGAAAAAAAAACAACCTTGCCCAAACAACTTTTTGTTATTTAATAGATTACGCATTCTCTAAACAATGATTAGTATATCTATTAACATTAGAAGGAAATGTGACGAAAATCACACAATGTTGGGGTTTTGGTCATTTGTAATTATATTTCTTAAGTAGGTAGGCCATGTATTCTATGGAAAAGTACCGGTATCAAGGATCGTCGTCAAAAAGGTTGTTATGAATAAATATGTAGGCTTACGTACCCAAGATATGAGCTATGGGCCTATTGGCTGTATGGTCCAGCGATTGCATCACACGGTGAGTAGAAACAGAAAGTGACACATTGGAAAAGCGAGTTTAGCACTTCCTCTGTTAAACCTCTGTTACAATCACCCACTGGCCACTGCAGTTGTGATTTTTTACTTTACACTTTACACAACCGCCATTGAAGCGCCGTCAATGAGTGGAAACCTTTTTTGTAAGCTATTGGTGACGATCATTTCAGTGTCCAGCCCTATACAACACTGATTCAAGGTCTTCTTTCTGGTTGTCAAAACTCAAGAAACATTTTATACTCAAAGAATTTCTGGTTCCGATTTGGACGATGTCTAGTTATTTAATTTCATTTACGGTTACACTATTAGACTATATTATTGCACTTGCGATTAATTAAATCCGTGATGTAAGAAAATCGTTTTTAATCTCACTTGGTTGGGATTTGCTTTCAAAACGTGATTCGAAATGGTTGCGGTATTTGTAAACAACATTTGTAAACATATCATTGACAGCTAGAAAAAATAATCTTGATCCGAACAGCTGTTCGTTATTTCATAGACGATTATGTGATAAAAATTGAACGAAAATTTGACAAAAATCGCACAAAACTGCATTTTTGAACGTCCGTAATTTTATTTACAAAGTAGTGAGGCTATATTTAAATCCCTAAAGACACTCTCGCCAATCCAGTTAATACATTAAAATGACTTGGATCTTGATAGGTACTCTGGTTTTCACGGAGAAGATTGCGTAAAATGCCATCTTGAGTGTTACAGACAAAGGGAAAGACAGACAGACAGACAGACAGACAGAAATAGAGATAAGACTCGTTTCTGCTTCTTTAATGTGTAAAACGTAAAAATAACCTAAAAGTATATAATTCTGAGCAAAGTACAGACAAAACTCTAATTTTATTTATATAGATATATATGTATCTATATATATAGATATATACATATATAAAAATTTGAACGAATTGTCTTTTTGGCCTCTGGAGACATCAAAATGAAAAAGTAAATCGGTCCCGGGCCTAGGTCTTACCATGAGACCTACGGTAATAGCTACTTCCCTATAGGGAAATTCGCTAAAAACAAATACCCACCGCAGCAAACCTTCTGAATAAAGGCAGAAAATTTCCATTTGAATGGTTTGAATTTCACTAGCCCTAAAATATGCTTTTAATGTCAGATTTATTAAGAGTTTACTTTTATCCTCCATAAAGCCTCGTTCACACGGGGCGAGATTACAAGCTACACGCAGGCTTTTTTACACGCAGCTAGTAAAAAAGCTTAGTGTGAACGACGTACTCGCTCAAAAGCTGCTTGAAAAACGCTCTGGAAAAAGTTGGCGCTGCCGCTACTTTACACGCCAACTCGCCAGCTTTTGAGCGAGTAGGCGTGTAAAGTAGCCCAGTGTGAACACAGTTGCTTGTGCGCATGTTACTCAATTATGTCGGAGGATATTTTCAAGCCAGCTACTGAGCGAGTGGAAAAAGCATCGTGTGAACGAAGACTACAAGCGCACGTCGCCGACTCGCTGGCGTCTCTGTACACGTTGGCGAGTGGACAAGCTCCGTATGAACGAATACAAGCGCACTCGTCGGCTTCTTACACGCTTGCGAGTAGCTTGTAAACTCGCCCTGTGTGAACGAAGCTTAAGAATAGCATGACAATTTTAGATTTACAGTTTTTGAACTTTCCTCCAATTTAAATAGCGTGATTAAAAACGTTTGGATAACTTAAGTTACGGTTACCTAAGTTAAGGTAGGCCTTTAAATTAAGCTATTTGTTTTTTAAAGCCCTAAGTTTAAATAACAAAAATGTTTGTAAAAATAGTTCAGCGTAGAATTCTGCACAATTTTAATAGCCTATGTGCCTGTAACTTACCTAGAATGTGTGATTTGATGGGAAAAAAATGTATGTTGTTTATTTCCAATTTTCCGGGGAAAACGAGAGAAGTTTTTGAATTCAGGACGTTATTAAGCATATTTAATAGAAAAAAAATAGGCTTTACGTCTGTGATTGATATAATATTTTTAAGTTAACAGATGGTTTTTAAATCTTAAGTTAGAAAGAAATATAAACGTTAGTTAAAAGTTATCGGTAGGGTAAATGTGCAGTTTTGGGTTTGCACACAATTTTTGAATTCTTTTTATCCTTAGGTAGGCTACTCAAAATTCAAAAATTCTTCATTTTCTGCGGAAAACGACCATAACGCGGAAAAACTACCAAAACGCCCAAAAATGTTTTATTACCAAAACACGTCATGTGGGTACATAGGCCTACTCAAACTAAGTTTAACTTAGGCCTAACCAGAATGTTAAGCAGATGACAAATATTCAAGAATTTTTTGGATCCAACGAATATTCTGAGGGTCAGGTAAATTCCATTTTTACAAACTATAGCTGCCTAGGCCTACTGTAACTTAAAACTCACTGTTTCCATAACTTGGCCCCATCATGCTGGTTTTTGAAATTGTTTGAAGAAATAAGTCATGGGCCTTAAAACTTAGGGTTAGGCTAAACACACAAATTTCGTAGGCCTAAGCTAATTAAGTTAGAAGACTTGTACTCTAAAAAACCGTTATCGTACTTAATTTACTAATCGACACATAAGTTAGCCCTAGCCTAACTTATATAGGCTAGGCCTATTAAATAACTTAAGTCAAATGGGCTAGGCCTAGGCTAAAGAGGTAAGCAAGTTATTTAAACCGAGCGGTAGGTAAAAGGCCTATAACTTACGTTAAGCCTATACCTAACTTACGTGAATTTTGGTTTGATACCCCTGGGGACCTCAACACGAAAAAGTATAAATTGGCCCAGATGTAGGTCTTACCGTGAGACATAACTTAGGCCTACGACAACGTAGACCTAAGCTTAACGTAGATCCTCATCCAGCATAACCATAGAGATCGGCGAATCATCAAGTTCAAGGATGGAGTACGTGTTGTGTGTGTGAAAAATTGTGTATTCCAAGTAACTTTAAGTTATATCAATTTTGGGTAGCCATGTCCTTCAAAATAGGCTAGGGTATACGCCTAGTCTCCAAGTTATAATAAGGAAAATTTTGTTATATAACTTAGCCTATTATATTATATTCGATGGTCCTAACAAAGAAAAATTTTACATGGCAGTGTCAGATATCATTGATAGGCCTAGGCTATACCAAAGGCATATAAAACCTCACACCATCTTGTATCTTAACAATGGTTTGTTTCAGCCAACCCTGAGATTTAATTGTTGACAAAATATTTAATAGGCCCATTTAAGTTAACACTAGCTAACTCAGCACTATAAGGGGCAAAAGAGGGCATATTATTATTACATCATCCCAACAAAATCTTATTTGTAAATGTTAACATCGCCGGAGGATTTACTAGTGGCCTTCAACTTGGTAAACAACTCTGTTATAAACATGACCCGACCCACGGGAAATACGTGTTTACACTTGTGAATAATTGAATTTACTTACTGTTTAGGTAACTGTAGCTGAGGAGCTCCTTTTCTTTGGAATACGCCGTCCACAAAAACACCATTCTTCCCGTTGCACACCATATAAAAGTTAGGATGTTCGAAAAACAGCTCTAGATGTTTACGAGAAATAAAACTAGAATGTCCCATGTTTACATCGACCTCACCTCGAGAGCTATTTCGGCCTATGATGATTCTTTTCTGTCTCACCATATATTCGAATTCTCGCCCTTCTAATCTTGCTATTACGGTTCCTTTGCTCTCCGGGCTCCATTGTAGTTTCGTAGGACTTGATGGTGCTGATTTTAGGGCTAAAAGAGCCCAAGCATCACTTTCTTGAGACTGTGAACGTGAAGACATCACGTCTCTCGCCACGGGAAGGAATATGGAACCCGATCAAAACAGCAGCCGAAAGTATGATTGTTTACCCACAATCCAAACCAGTGTTCCCAGATTGGCCGTAGTCAAATATCGTACACGCGGTCCTAAATTATCGTATTTCACGAAAAATTATCGTACAATTTTAAATAACAATCGTAACTGGCTTGAGTATTGAAATACCTAATAGACTTATATATTTTTTTATTATAAATCTCAAAATCGCCATAAAACCATATTATTTTTAGTTTTGCACGTTGTAATCATAGTAGGTAACTGATATTATGTGAATATTTCTCAACCTCAACACAAACACTACACCAGTATTTTCCCTATTTTCCTTCCACCATGCACTCATGGCCACCTTTAACTACAGGCCGCGGCCTGGTAGAATTGGCATCTCCACAAGTGGTATGTTGTTCAGTGACAGACGTCTCATAAGATAACATGGCAGACAGGTGATATCAGCTCAATTCACACTTTATTGATTTCAATTTAAATTTATACACATAAATTTATTAAAATATTGAAAAAAAGACATACAGAATTGAAAACCGAAACAATATGAATTAAAAATCTATTATGTACATTTTAAGCGGAGTCAATATTGTCATAGTCCAGTAACCAATATTTCGTTAATACACAAATACCATTAGCTGCTTCACTTCCAAACAAAACAGCTGTTACAACACCTCTTGTGATGTTGCCACTTTGAAGGCCGAGGCCTGGAGTTAAAGGCGGCCGTGCGTGCACCCGTGCACCTGCACCATCGATCTCTAAAATAGAGATCGATGGCGTGCACTACTACACCAATAATTCGCCAAATGGGCGAGATTATGTACGGAAGGTCTGTTCTTATGGTAACAGACTTTCTCGTGGTGTAGGAGAAGCAGAAGAAGCGAAGCAGAAGCATTCAAGCAGTTTAGAAGCACATTTCATGGAAATGGTTTCGTTTTAATTTTATTCATACTAACAGTTAACTTATAGTTTTCATAAGATTGATTTTTTATTTATTGATTTTTATATCCCATCTCTAATAAATACTGAGTTTTGATTTAAAACAGCAAAAATGTTTCCAAATTTTTGGGTATAACTTCCCAAACCAATTTTGTAAAAGAGTACTATTCAACTGCCCAAATTATCGTACAAATAGCATTATCGTACGGTGACGTATCGTACATCGTACGGGAGGCTAAATTATCGTACAAAACGATAATTATCGTACGTCTGAGAACACTGATCCAAACGTGGGTGGCAGAATTGACCACGTGACAGCGCTGCGCAGCACTGCAGTGGCGTAAAATAGGACTACTTCAAAATAGCGCTCAGTTTGAATACCGTTAAAATGATACCTATGATACTTGGTTAATTAATTTATCAGAAAAACTTCATACAGTACTATGAAATCAAAGAGCACGTAATAAGTGTTTTAGTGATTTATTTTATAAAGTGGGCTATTAACAAGACCAACCTAGTTCTGAAATCCTTATAATTTAAAATTTAATGAATGTTTATTATAATCTACTTTAACATATGAGTTTAAAAAATGTCGCATATACTTCATAATTGTGTAAAATATGTTGATAACAAAAAATATTCCATGTCTTTCTTAGTTAGAAAAAAAATTGTGCCTGATCCATTTTTACTTTCTCCCCCCCCCCCCACAATATAGAAAAAGTATTGTTTTCATTAAAATTTTTGAGTTTGATTGGATATACGTTTTGGGTCCCCCTGAACCTAAAAAAGTGGTTTTTGGAGTGATATCTGTGTGTGTGTGTCTGTAGTGTGATTGTGTACAGGGCTACAGACCTCACCTCCTGTTGTCCAATTTTGATGAAACTTGTTATGTAGGTACCACAGATACTAGAAAAGCAAAACGGCACACGGAAGATTTCGCAGGTGCCGTTTGACGTCACCAATACCGCAACGATAAGGTTTTCAGCCATCGGCCTGGGTTGTGTAGTGGATAACGTGGCGGGCTGATAATCCGAATGTACCAGGTTCAAATCCCGCTGGTAGCACTATTTTTTTTCTCAAAATTTTTTTTCATATCAGCAAGTTTGGTTGGTTTGGTTAGGTTATGACAGTTTAATTTTATAATTAAAAACTTATAAAATTGAATTTTAGGCATTTATAATTTTATTTTATGTACAAAACTATTTTTTCAATTAGTAGGCCTAAGCCTTCATTTGATTTTTCCATTATCAGCACGTTTGGTTAGTTTGGTTAGGTTATGACAGTTTAATTTAATAATAGAAAAATTATAAAATTATCTGTTTCTTCAGACGCAGCAGTTAGTGACGTCAAACGGGACCTGAGAAATCTTCCGTGTGCCCCACCGCTAGAAAAGACCTGGTACATAAATCATAATCTATATAATTAATACGCTACATGAAACTGGCAGTTTTTACCACATCTTTGTCCAAAGTTAGTGTGACAAATTATTTTACGCAATGTGTCCGCATTGCTGTATTAAGTGCAGGAAAAATATATATATGTATGCCTGAGGCGAGGGGGGGCGGTCGCCCCCTTCGCCCCCTCTGGATTTGCCACTGATCCCCCGTGTTCTGTTGCGTTCATCAGACATAGTTCTGCATTTTTTCACTACAACAGCAACAGTTCCCCCAAATTCCTGCTTTCACGATGACAATCGAAGGTGCAGAGAGACAGTTATTGGAGCTGGAATTACTACGGCTGCTGGCACCAGACTTGCCCTCCAATTGATACTCGTTAAAGGATAGGTGTTTTACTCCCAGCACCAGTGTTTGGTGCTGGCGTGTCTTTGGTGCTCAGGGCTAGCTATGTTGCTGTGAGTATAGCATGGATCTTTTGCTGGGGTCAAGATATACCTTTCAGATACAAGGAACAAGGAAAGTTGAGAAACACCGAACAGGTATTTACAAAAAATATTGTGTAATGGGAACTCCTGTTGTAAAATGTTTAATAAATGTATATCTGTTGGTAAATACTAATTATTTCTTAAAAAAAATAAATACACAGCATTTTCACATGTTTATAATAGGTCTTTCACTAACTTTAGAATGTTTCTTTGATTGGGGTCTAGCTGTTTATGATTTTGTTCTTTATTCTTTTACAAGTTGCAGTTTTGCTTGATTTTGAGCAACGGGATCTAGTTTGCTACTGAACTGTTCTTTAGCCATGTAAATTTATAAAAATCCCCAATAATCAAAAGCAGCTTGGTCCATTTTCAAATAATATAAAGTCTACCAGCATCCCTCCATGGACAGGCAGGTTTGCAAATTATAAGAAATCATCTCATCCAATGCACTATGGTTCGGCCGCTTAAAAAACGACCTGCGCGCTAATGCTAAACCAATGCTGGAGGAGGTCGCTTTCTAAGCGGCCGACCTATAGCAGATATTTTCTCACTGACCAGTATGGGAGAGTGTTTTGTATTCTTCATGTGTGTGTCAGGAATTTTGATAAGATTAATTAGTATAGGTCATCCAAATTGTACCTTATAGCTTACCTGTTGGTGGCATTTCTAACAAATATAACAATGCTATAAATAAAGCATTGTTAACAAAACTAACCCCATCATACTCTTAGTTGTCATCGAAGAACATTCACACGTTCAATTCTATTTCTACCTATAAAATACTAGAAATTTAAACATGAAATGGTTGATATTCATAAATATTTTATGAGTAGTTCAATTAACAATGGTGTTGTGGGGCAGGAACCCATGGGTACAACGTTCCTACTCTGGTTTTTTTCCAAAAACCCTACATATATATTTATAGCCGACCAGCATGTTCTTTCTGTTTTTCTGAGTAACCCCACTTACTGTGTTTTTTCTGAGGTAAAAGAGAGCGTTTGGGAACTGGAAATTTATGACTACGCCATTAATTACCTACCATTAATTATCGATTAATTGTGAAACATCATGTAAGTTTTCTATCAAATTTTAGGAGAAAAGATTTTCTTTCCTGCTATCTCAAATTCTGGTTAAGAGTGTATAGAAAGAAGGACTGTTCCCCGAATTGCAAAGACCATAGTTGTCGTGGATAGCGTAGCGCCGTCTGAACGAGCCTGGGATTGTTTTATACACATTACTTCAGGCTAGAACTAGGGGTTGTGGCATTATCAATTGGATAAAATCAATTGGTGATTTGGTAGGATTTAAACCCTGGACCTCTTGGACCGAAGTCCCGCGCTCTAACTACTAGATCAGCTCGCTCCCCCCCATATAGAACTATGGTTGCTATTATTATTACAGTATTCATTCAGCAGTGTTAGCTATTAGTTTCATACAATTAAATATTTTAAGTATATAGCGAGAATACAAAGGAAGCTGATTGAAACCAATTTTCCTGATCCCGGGTCCTGACATAACTCTGTCACTGATTTTGTATGTCTTCATTGTCTTTGTGATTTTATTTTAGAGTACAAAAAAAGATACTCTGTTGGTGTAGGTACTCAATGACCGTAATTAGATTTTATTGATTGTTTTGGTGCTGGATTTCACAAACTGAATGTTCCTTAAACAACTTTAAGAATGCATTTTGAATACAGGTTTTTAATTTTCCAAAAAAAAATAAATTAAATCTAATCACTTATCTACTTTGGTTATGACTAAACATTTTTTTGTCCATTGGAAATAAATTCCAAATATTTATAATCTTGCCTGAAAGAATAGAGACAAATTTAGCCGAAAAAGTGTGTTTTCAAACCGGCCCTGAAATATTCTGATAAGGTGGGAGTAGACCATAGAGAATTCACGAATTGTGGATATTTATAGGCATGCACTGTGGATGCGATACTCCCTGATGTGGATTAACGTCCCAACGTCCGCACGGGTGAGTACTACAACTATCCACAGTACTATCCTGATAATTAGACCAATTCGTATATACCAAGGAAAAAATGTGGTTCGGATTCCACTATAAACTGTAGGTCCCTTAGTCGCCATTTAGCTGTATGGGCTATTAATTAACAGCTGTGTCTAGGGAATATGTCGGCCTTAGTCACTAACAAGACTACAAGATCGCGCCACTCATCATACACTCATCTCCATTCATACTCGGCTTAAAATACCTACTTTGTATGGTCGCCATTTCAAAGAAAAGTAAAGAAAAGTATTAAAAAAGTAAAAGACAAACTGTGTTAAAAGTTTGAATACTGATGTATTTTTAATGTAATTGATTGACACTATATATTTGTGTACCAATGTGCATGAAATAAATACAGAACTTTTGATTTGATTTGATTATGGTTATGATATTATGTTCATGAAAAGACATAAAATTTTAAAAAAGAGTGATGGGTAACAACTTTGACTTTTGAATGAAGTAGAAACACCATTTCATATGGAACATGGTTCATTGTTGTTTCCCGGCACTAGAATGTCTTGCACTAAACTCTGTTTCTACCTCGTTCTTTTAGTGAATTTCCCTAGGGCAGAAGCTATTACCACAGGTCTCATGGTAAGACTTAGACCCTGGACCCATTTACTTTTCATTTTGATGTCCCCAGAGGCCAAAAACACTATTCGTTCAAATTTGTATATTATATAAGTCCGTAAACTCAAAAAATTAAGAAACATTCGTCTGATTTTCATGAAATTTGCTCGCTTGAACGTATTGAGCTGGATAACTTGAATGGTTTCGAACCAGCGAGTTCAGGGTGATGGGATAACGGGAAAACGTTTTTCAAAAATTGGTTATCCCAAATTTTTACGATTAAAACTTAAAAATATCCAATTTTCAGTAGGCCTACAGCCATTAGGTAGGTAGGGCTTGAAAACAAGTAATTTGTACTTTGAAGGATTGTTTTACAGTTAGAGGTTACAGATAAAATTCCTAAAACTGTAGTAAAATTCCTCTATTTAAAAAATGTTCTTGTTATTTATAAAAAGACAAAAAGAAAACTGTTGTAGTATTTGCTTGGTTATGGATATATTTTGGTTAAATCTTGCCAATTCACTTGATTTAATCTGATATTATATAACATTTGATAAAAAAAAAAAACACTATTTCCTTTTCCCGTAGCAGGAAACCTAGGTAGTAATACTTATTGATCTAATGTTAATGGGAAATAAATAAGAATTGCTTATGAAAATATTTTAGTTAAAATCCAATCAGACAAAAAGTGAAATTATCTGTATTAGTCTGCAGGTTTGCTGCCGTGTGGATATTTGATATTTCAATGTAAGATAAAACATAGTTTAATTTAAACTGCCCTTTCAGTTAATATTGGCAATTGGCATATTTGACAGATAGATTGACATCAGCACACTTGACCAGTGGTTCAATTCAATTGTTATTTTTTTTATTCTTAGACTTGCAACAATAAATTTTAACATGAGAATAGAATTTATTAAATGTGATGTGGAAAGCGAAAAGGGACCTCTTCTCGGCGATGCAAAATTTTCAGTATGGCTGATATAAGTAGGTAATTAAGGTCAAAAATATTGAAATTCAGTTGTTTATTGATTGTTATACCTCATTTAAGATAGAACAGGACAGTGTCGGTTAAAATATTGAATAGAAGATGTAAAAAGTCGAAATAAATCATTTTGTTAGCCTCTGCATGGTCTGAGAAAAGGTACCTCTTGCCGCTCAATGTTATTAGGTATTCATTTCTAATAGGTAGGTATTCACTTTATAAACCGACTTAAGTCAAAAAATTATGTCCTGCATTCTAGTGTAAATTTAGAGAACTACAACAAAGTTCAGTTTACGGAGAACAAAATATCTCACCAATTTTGTGGTCCCGACAAGGAGGTACCTTTTTTTATCTTGTGAGGAAATAACATAGGGCCGACAAGAGGTCCATTTTCTAAAATGCAATTTTCACGACATGCTACGATAAAACAATTATTTAAATGAAAACCACAGTGAGTTAAGACAAAAATTGGTATTGCCTCCAAAGAGGTCATTATAAGCTTTCTTTTGATACCAAAATTGTTTCTTAAATACAAAAAAACTGTTTTTATGCGTACCTATTTGAAATTTTCAAAATAGTTTTTCTCAAAATGACCTTTTTCCAGTAACAAATTTTTTTAAAGTCTATAGCTTAAACAAAATAAATCGTAGATCTATGGGACTTGCATTCGATATTTAATAAGGAATTGAAATATTTAAAGGCCTATATAACTCAAAATCAAAAATTGCCAACAAGAGGTCCCTATTCGCTTTCCAAATCATAAATATATCAATTATAGTCAAAAGGCAACACTTTCTAATAACACAAAAATTACATATCTTATTTTGCATGAAAGGTAGTCCATATATAATTATTTGCATACAAATACAGCTTGGAATCCCCGCAGGTTTATTTATGATTAATTTCTTCTTACTAGGGCTTATCAACAAATTTCGTTTGGTACTATATAATATCTGGAAAGCTTGTTGAAACTTTTTATGTAGGCCTTTTGGTACAGGTAAGTTAAAAAGCCACAATTAATGTGTTAAAATTTTTCGGCAAGGTATTTAGGTGCCTATGTAAGAAAAAGAAACTTTTGTAAGGGATGGATGGATAAAAAAATATTTTTGGGCACACCATTTTTATACTTTCTTTAAAGACATGCTAGATAGTTTTAGTTAATAATAATAATGACTATCCATACATTTTTAAGTAGGGGAAGAGTAAAAATCTTTTGGATGGAGACTAAGATAAACAATGCGAGGTCAATTTTATAAACAACTATAGTAAGTATAAACTTTGTTTGTTTTTAAATCTAATTAATAAACAAATACTTACAATTTATCCATGCTTTGTTTTTCTCTTGGACCAATGAGTAAAAGAAAAGTTCAAAATAAATAACTATTGTATAAGTTAGTATTGAATTAAAATGGTTCAATTTGCAGCTGATCTGAGATTCAAACACAACAACAATTAAATCAAGAGAGTACAAAATTTAATATTAAAAATCAAAGGGAAAAGAAAAATGGTCATGAGTATTTAACATCATTGATTAAGAGACAAAAATTTATACTATGTGGGGTAATGTACAAAGGTGTAGTTTTTAACGGCCTCTCGTATATAGAAACTAAAATGAAAAAGTATGATTCTGTGGTCAGAGAATTACTTAGGTATATATGAACTATCTCCTTAGATGCACTTTTGAACCCAGAAGAAGCATATCTCTCTGGTAGGTTCCTCAACCTTTTAGACCTTTTAAACCTTTGGACAAGTGTTTATGAGCAATTTAATGTTTAGTGACGTAAGAAGAGTCTGCTGGATATTTATTTAATCTATTTCCTGAATTAATTAGATGTGAAACCCCTACCTACAGCCATAAGATAAAGTATATAATACCCCCGCCGCAGCAAACCTGCCGACTAAGCGAACTTCCATCCGTCTGAATTGATTTTCAATTAAATCTATTCAAATAACATTAGGTTTAACGAGTATTCCTAGGTTTGCTGTGACAAGAAAACTAATAAAGTGTTTTTTAGTAAAATATTAATAGTTTATTATAAAATAAATAAATTGGCCAAGTTTTATCGAAATATATCCATAAACAAACAAACTACCACATTTTACAATATTCTCCATAACAATAACATAGGAATTTTAAATTTACAATTTTTGAATTTTCTCCGTTACCAAAAATGTACATAAACACTTTGATATACTAAATTATTTGTTTTTTTTTTAAGCTCTTTGAAAAGGTCTAGAGAGAAATAGGTGTCTAGGAGAATCAATGTGTTTGCTAGACTTATACTTCTTTACTCCATTGTCTTGCCATTGATCTTGATTTCCTGTAATTCTAAGCTATTATTCCACTCACCACTCACTTACGGTAACATTAGTAATATAGTAAAAGTAATAGCATGGATAAAACATACTCCGTAATAGTCTATTAATATAATTACTTCATCTATATATGACGGTACCATTGATTAAAAATGGTTTTATCAATACCATAGCCCGTACCTACATTGATCATGGACTTTGAAAAAGGATAAACTAATAATGTTAAAGTTTAAACTTCGATTTGATCTTTGCCTTCTTTTTTTTTGCCCAGCTGGTTAGTATGCGATTACTGTAGTGAAGATCAGTGCTCACTGTTCACTGTTCAGTGGTTCTAACTGAGTCAAAGCTGGTAATGCTGGTACCCTGCATACTTGGATGGATACTCTGTTTGCTATAGTACCATCTTCTGACACGAAATATTTTATTAAGTTAAAAATTATATAGCAAAGTGAGCAATAATGAGATATTTCTAAAATTCTGTATTGTTTAACTCGTAATATGTTGGTTAGAATCAATAGTAGCAAACTTGTATCTTAAATAAAATTACAATGATTTGTAAGTCATTGAATTGATAATAAATAAACGAAAGCATTCAACTATGATTATAATGTCGGCCTTAGTCACTAACAAGACTACAAGATCGCGCCACTCATCATACACCACGGCCACCTCAGCCTGGTAGAATTGGCAACGTCGCAAGTAGTGTTGTTTAGTGATAGACGTCCCATTAAGATAACATGGCAGACAGGTGACATCAGCTCATTAATTCGCACTTTATTGATAGAAATTTAAATTTATGAACATAAATTTATTAAAATATTGAAAATAAAACATACAGAATTGAAAACCGAAACAATATGAATTAAAAATCGATATCTTTACATTTTAAGCAGAGTCAATACTGTCATAGTCCAGTAACCAATCTTTCGTTAATACACAAATACCATTAGCTGATTCCAAACAAAACAGCTGTTACTACACCACTTGCGACGTTGCCACTTCGAAGGCCGCGGCCTGGAGTTAAAGCACAAAGGCGGCCGTGGTAGACGCCGCGCCGATGAAAAACAAAGATGCAGCCGCTCTTAGCTTAATTTTCTCTTGTCCACTGCCTCCCTCCCCTGAACGTCTGTCGTCTGCCCCTGTTTGACAGGCGTCATCACAACTAGAACAAACAAAACATACACTCAAACCAAACCAAAGTCTCATTCTAACTAAACACAAAAATGACAGTTCCTCCACAACTATTAAAAAATCAATTAATAACACAAAATTTACTTATTGTGAGTACCTAACCTGAAAGACTTTCTTGCTGATAATCAATCCATAACATCAAGCATACCCGTTGTAGTGCCACTACAATTTGACTTCAGGTAATTTTAGGTTATAAGTTCATAAATAACCTTGAATTATCATTTAGATGTTCTCTTTCAAATACCCCCAAAAACTACCAATAAGTAGGTAGGTAGGCTATAAAATGTTTATAACAATGGGTTTTAAACAATATAAAGGCAAACTTAAGATGTACACTTAATGCACAGCTAGGCTATGTGCATAGGTGTCATAGGCTATGTATATAGGTAGCCTATTTTGATATTTAATCTGATAATACATCACAGTTGTTCTGAGGAACTGTAGATAGGCCTACCCTTCCTTGTTAAGGATGAGTTCTTCATATTCCAAAGGTAAAATAGGGCCATGAAGTTGAACATAAATCCAAACACTATTTTTCCAAAGCTAACATTTCAGGGATTTAAAATTAAAGCCTATCTCGGTTTGTTATGAAATCCTCTATAGAAGTTAATTGTTGTAGGGGCTGCAATGGTGCTTAGTTTCAATAGCCTCTGAAATGGAGGAAGAAGAAAAGTCAGATCCAGAGACTACACCATTAAAGACCAAGAAGAAAGGATTCTGTAGTCTGTTAAACCTGAGGAAGAAGAAAGTTGGATGTTTGCCATTAAGTTCTGATGCGAGCCAGGATGACAGTCCAGGACCGAGCACAAGCGCTAGTCCACTGCATAAAACTGTGTTTGATCTTCCGTCACCACCGCGACTAAACAAAAGCGTTAGTGAGGAACATCCGAGTGAGAACGATGAGTTGAAGAGATGCGATGCGGTGGCTAAGTCTCACAGCAGCACTAATGTGGCACTGTGCTGCGCAATCACAGAGAGCTCTCGTACTCCGGTACACTTTCAGTCCAATTTCAAGTTCCATTACAACAACAATTTGTCAACAATGAGTATAAACCGATCCAGTATCTTGACTAGGATGAACGGACGTTCTGAAGAGTTGAGTGAAGGATTGCCCCCCACCGGCTTAGATCCGGGGAAACTGAAGAAACCTGCTTCAGAAACCAACATTGTTGCTTCCGCAAAACGTGCCGACAGCTTTAGAAAGTGCCTTTTTAGCCGGACGAAGAAGACCCACAAGAGATCTTTCAGCCTCGGGAAGTCAACGTTTTCAGAGGAAAAGCCGAAAGATGCTGACTCTGGTAATGTGGAATGTTCGCTGTCTGCCAGTGAGGTGTCGCCGCAGAGTTCACCCTCCCCAGTCGAGGCAAGTCACGCTAGACTGAGACGGAGGTTGTTGCTGTCTCAGCGTCGCTCAGTGGACAACATTGTAGCCTCCAGTTCAGGTGAGCATTAGCAGTATTGAACTTAAAAATGAATCCTATTTAAGACCCATAAGCTAGATAGCCTATTTTCTAGCGGTTAAATAACTATGAAGTTGTGGTCAAGTCAGTTAATTCATAGCAAATCCTTTTTTCTGACCTTAAAAAAGGTTAATCAGATCCTGGCAGACGAACTCGCAAACTTTACCCACCTCTTTATATTTAAATACCCCCACCGCTGAAAACCTGCAGACTAAGCAAATTTCAACTTGTCTGATTACATTTTGACTAAAATATTTCTAAAATATTGTGGACAGACTAATCCAAAAACATAAAAATAAAAACAATATTACTAGGGACAACATTGCCGAAAAACCAAAATACATATGTGTTGATTATTCTCAGACCATACATGATTGCTTGGGAAAAGAATTCAAGAAAAATAACATAAAGTTGACCTTCAACACTAGCAACAGATTAAAAAATATATTAGCCTCAAAAACGACCGCAAAGGACATACATTGTAAAACTGGCATTTATAAACTGAAATGCGCTGAATGTCCTAGTATGTATGTTGGCCAAACAGGACGAAGTTTCAAAACAAGGTTTAAAGAGCACAGACCAGTTGCCAGCGTAACCAAACAAAAATCCACCTTCGCACAACATTTAATTGACTTTAATCATACAATGGGAAATATTGATGACAGCTTGGAAATTCTACACACTTGCAGAAAAGGGAAAAAGATGGACACTCTAGAGGAGTATGAAATCTACAAAAGTTTTAACAACGTTAACACCCGTGAGACTATATTAAACGAAAAACTACAATTCAGTTCCCACACCATTTTTAATTCAATCATCAATAACTCCGTCCATCCTACAACAGCTGATCCTTGCCCAATATCTCTTTCTCTCTCACACAACTGATAAGCATAAGCTGGTCTAGTCTGTCCCTTGCTACCTGTGCGGTCGGTCATCTTTGCTAGAACAGGCCTGTTTTTTAAATGTTTAACTGTTTTATGTATTTATTCGTGTCCGTACTGTGTTTATTTATTCTTCTGACGATGTTAACAACTGATCAACTCTACACTATGTACCTGAAGCTGACGATGGTGTTTTAACACCGAAACATGTCCTGAATAGACATATTTTATTGAGCTGTGACGGGAATTACGTAAGTAATTTAGTCTTACATTAAAATATTTCCATAAATAAGACATATTTATTCCCAATTTAAATAACATCATTAGATTTAACGAGTACTTAGGTTTGCTGCTACGGGGAAGGTAAAAAGTGTTTTTTGACCATACGTCAATAGTATAGGATGAAATAAATAAATTTGCCAAATTTTATCAACATATAGGCCCATCCATAAACAAGTAAACTACAACAGTTTTCATTTTCTCCATAAGAATAACATGAGAATTTTAAATTACACTTTTTTTTTATTTTCTCCGTAACTGTTAGACATAACAGAGCTTCAATATAATAAATTATTTCTTTTTTTAAGCTCTACCAAATGGTTTAGAAAGAAATTGCGAAATCTTTTGTTTTTAGGGCCAAAAATAGGAAAAACCCATTTTTACCCTTAGTTACAATTATTTTTAAGAAATAAGAAGGTAAAATTTAACTAAATCTAAGCCTTAAACACTCTTTGTAAAACCAAAGGTACTGAAATAACAAGATCAAAGTATAAAGAAACCGTTGACAAAGCAATGCTCATTAGCTGTAAAAGTCTCTTGCTATTAATGAGACTAGAATACCTGAACAAGACACTTTTCAGTAAACAAAGGCAGATTCTTTGCCAAATCCATTCCAAACACTCGTTGACAAAACTCAATCCAATAAAATTTGGAATCTACCCATTTTGCAGCATGCCCAACTCTTATTTAACCAATCAAGACACAAAGTTAATTAGGTACACCTGGGATTGAAAGTGACACAGCTCAATTTCAGATAAGATGATGCCAACTTTCACAACTACCAATTGAACAATAAAATGTTATCTTGGGTGGTAAAATACTCTTGGCTAAAAAAAGATTAGATAATGAATCAAGAAGTGTTAACAGATTAGTCGACTGAAGTAGGCCTACATAGCCTAACCAATTTTAATTCTAATTAATTGCTATCTATTTCAATTAAGTTAAATCATTGATTTCTGAACTTGTATGATAAGTTGGATATGGATCCAAATACAGGCGAAGAAGTTGATTCAAATGGCGAAGAAAGTAAGTTTGAAATTTAAGTTAATCAAATTAAGATTTTTATTAAACTTGGATAGCCTAAATCCTGTTAAACAACGTGTTTCGTTCAAAATTCAGTAAGGCAATTAGAAATTTGCTCGAGATGCAGGTTTGTTTCAAATGGTAACAGGTCTAATTTAATAGGATTACAGATCGAAGTGATGAAATGAATAATTTATTGTTAATTTCATAGGATTTCTCAGTCGGAGTCTCCCTTCTTTTTTTGGTGAGAAGATTTGGCTTTCATTGTGTTTGTGTTTGGGATATTTGAATAACAGTAGGCTACTCATTTATTTTGTTAATTTAGTCAGGCACAGTTAAGTGGTCCAAAAATGAACATTAAACTTCTAGGCCTAAATGCTTTTACCCTAGTACCCTAGGGCTACCAGCTGCTTGTTGGTGTTGGGACGAGTACGGCTGAGTGTATCTGTGTGTGGTGGTGTGTGTGTGTGTGAGTTTGTATGTGTGTATTGGGAAGTAGATAAGTTATCTTTTGGGCGATGGGAGGGGGGAAGGGTCTACTAATTGTCTAATATAGCATTACATTCACTTACCATTAAGTCCTCCAGTGTATCTATTGTTCCAAAAAAAATTTTTCCAAAATCATTTGTTTTCCTTCATCACTTAGTTAAAATATATATATATATAATACAACTCTCTTCCATACACAGAGGTATTCCTTCTTTGTGGAAGATATTTCGCTAATTTAAAAAGCTTTTTTATATTTTTATGTTTATATTAAATATTATAAAAAAACTAAACAATATTGTAAACATTTTTGTATGGAACTAATGATGTAATTTGTAAATATTTTGGCGAAATAAATGCTGTTTTGATTTGATTTTTGATTTTATTTTATTTCAAACCATTTTATGGTTTGGCAAGGCTTGGATTTGCTGTGTGAGTTATAGGATATGATATAGTTTAACTAACCAAATCTCCATATTTAAATTTTTGTTACTTTTAAAAGATGAAGTATGAAAAATACTAGTGTTTGAACTTTTTTATTGAACTGGTTAACACTAATACCGAAACCCTACCCAGGCTGGCGCTAACTGAAACTCCCGGTCTGTGAGACCCCATTTGAAAATAATGGACCCCGCTTAGAAACACACAAACCGAAACCCTGGGCCTGTGACACCCCGCTTTAAAATACACTAACGCTGGGCTTCTGAGACGGGCATGTTATGAACAGACAACCTGTCAAGGTCACGGCACCCACGCAAAATGAACAAACAATATATGATCAGGAAGAGGATGAAAAGGGGGGAAGGTATTGGGGGAATGGAATCCCCCAAGTAAACAGTGTTGCCAACATGCTTTTGTGAAAATTCCTGTGGGCCTGTCAGACCAGGGTTTTGGTAAAAGTGTGAAGTGTGTCTTGGAATCTATGAATCAGACAAATAAATATTTCAAAGACAAATTTAAAATCCAAAAGAATCTTTAACTATCATGAGTAGGGCAGTTTATTGATATGAAACTGTTGTTTATAAGCCTGGGAGAGGAATGAACTGCTCTTGATAAAAAAAAAAAAAAAAAAAAAAAAAAAAAAACTACTCTAGGTATCATGTTTGTTTGTACTTGTGCACCAACAAATTAAAGACAGTTTGTTAGCCTTAACACACTATATTAGTTAAAGATATTCTGTCAATTTGTGTAGTAACATATTTTTGGAGTTAACTCAGGTTCTTTTTGCCTCTGTCCGTGAGTAGTAGGTAGTCGTATTCAAGAACAGAGGCAACAAAAAAGGTAATAACTTCTTTTATGTAATGACATTGTGCCAGCCACTGAGCACATTAGATGATGTGCCTAGTTCCTTTTGTACATAATTTACATTTCCTCTGCTTTAGCTAAACTTGTTGTCCAGGTTCAGGATCGCCAGGCTCCACAAGAAGTGCGGACAGCAAAGAGTCAACTGGGAAGAAGAAGAAGGCACGGCCCTCGTCAGTGGTAGTCACTGGCACAAGGGACAAGAGCAAGGACAAGTCCCCAGCCAAGCAGGATGTGAGCATGGAGAGTCTAGTGAGACAGTCATTGCTAGCGGCTCAGGTCTTCCATCTCATCCCCACCACCAAGGCGAGGGAGCGGTGAGTAAAGAGAGTGTTTATCATCCAAACCACCTGTTGCAGGGAAAAAGGTTACTGTTTAAATGAAAACTGAAACCCTGTGCCACATGTTATCTCGACTATTGATCACCTGTTTCCAAACAATCAATAACTAATTACTGAATCAACTCTAAAATGAACCCACAGTCCACAGCAGTTGAAAAACTTTGACCCTTTTGAGGAAACTCTTCCACGAGAAAGAATTTGTACAGTATGTCCAAATATGAGTGGCATAACTTTTTTTTGCTCTGTCTAAAGCTGGGTTTTCCTAGGTGCGGAAGCGGTGGGCGGAGAGTAGAACGTGGAGACCAGATATATTACTGAGGGTGAGGTAGAATTGAAAAATGAAAGTCCTGCTGTTAGGAAAAGCAGCCAAAACAGATGGCATTTACTTAGAGTTTTTAAGGCTAAAGCTGATTGATGTTGTTCTCCCAGAATTAATTTTCATTTAGAGAAATTAAATACACTTCATAATTGTCGATCGATTCCCACAATACCCCTGCGCTATCAACCCTGCAGACTAAGCGAATTTCCATTTGTCTGACTAGATTTTCAGTAAAATATTTCCTTTAATATACCAGGGATTTATTCCCTAAGAAATTAAAATTAGATTTAACAAGTACTTAGGTACACAATACTTCAGGGAAGGCATTAAAGTATGTTTTTTATACAAAATCTTGTATTTTTAAACATTTTAGGAGATCAGAAAACGAGCATTCATACAATTTCAAATCCCCCACCCGGGGTATTTAGTTCACCAAGTAGCCACAAACTGCACTAGCCTTGCGAGTTGCGACCCCTATAAATACGGCGCAAGACAGCGAACAGTCAGTTGATCGCTAGGAGAGTAGCCAGGCACATCTCTTCCTGGTAAGGGGAGTAGAGTAACATCGTGAAATGGTAGGTGAGGGCGGAATAGCCCGGTAGTTGATACAGCAGTGAAATAACTCTGGTAGTGTCGAATGTTAATAAATGAGCTATGAGTTAAATAAATTTGCCAAATTTGATTAAAATGTATAAAGAAGCAAACTTCAAAAGGTTACTTATTCACATGATTGTTTGCAGGAATTTCTTGCATGGTCGAATTGCTGCAACATCTCTGTTGGGTACCCTGGAGCTGGAGCGAGTGTTGCCAACACGAGAGCTGCATATCTGCGTCGTCACGTGGAACATGAACGGACAGGTGCGGCAAACTTAAAGACAACACATTTTTTCACATTTTTATGATGAACTAAACATTGAAGACATACTGTTAAACTCTGAGATTATTTGGTGGAATCGGCGAATCTGGGGTGTTTTTCTTGCCAATTCATCAACATCTGGACTTAAATACGCGAAAGTTCAGTCACAACTTGACTATCATGACTTGATGGATTCGGCGTGCTTTCAGTACCATCCAACTCTGTAGCTAGGTGGTTTAATGAATGAAAGTCTCCTATTTGATCTATAAAAAATGATAGTTCGATACTTGACCCAGCTATCCCCATGTCCGCCCATTAGTATCATCTTTGACTATTAATACCCAATAGTCAATGGTATGGCCAAAGGATATAGTTCACAATGGATATAGAGCCAGCTTATTTCTGAAAAGCCCTAATAACGTGACTTCTCATTTACTAAAATAGTTAAAATGTGGTGGTATATATGTTTGTGCCAGATTGGTAACTTTGTTTACTCTTATATTACAGGCCCCACCCACTGAGCTCAACTGCCTTGTGTTACCGGAAGGTCTGGACCATCTTCCTGACATCTTGGCTGTCGGAACACAGGAATCTTACCCAGAAAGGTGGGGTGAGATTTTTCTACTGTTAACTGTGACCATAATATAAATTTGAATTTGATATATTTTTGTACACGTGTCCTTTATAAATTTGGAAGGTTTTCATAGGGAATGACAGATTTAGACAATTAATTGTAGATTGGTTTTAATAATGTAAGATGAGAAAATAGTGACGAGAGATTTCCAAAATCTTCTGAATACGAAATATTAAGCGTCAGAAAATCATTTTTATGCCAATTTAATCATAAACATAAAATTTTGGCGAAGAACATAATTTTATTACTAAGTTTTATGTACATGCTTCTGCTACTAACAATTAGGTATAGTTTTATTTAATACCATTGCTACTACATTTCCAATGAATGTCCGTGGACTGGATGGACTCATGATTCCAGTTCAGAGACATGATTACAGGTGTTTGCAACAAATACACCATTGATAAGACTGCCAACTGTATAAATTATACACTTGTATATGGTTGTGGCTTATCTAGAGATTATAGTGTGGGGCATTTCCTAGATGTTTGGTTTCAAATCTCACCAAAATCAATCTAGGCCTAATTAGTTTTTATTGACCAAAACTTATTCAATATGCTAAAAAAAAAAAAACTTAAAAAACTACAAAGCTGTAATCTTGTGATTTAGAGCCACTTATGAAGTAAAACACATGGTGCTATAGGACACAAATACAGTCTCTACTAGGACTCCTATTGATAAGTGTTTTTGTTTTAGCTACTTAATTTAATCAAATCCACCTTTTTTCAAGTGATACTAATAACTACATTAGAATTCAATTTAATTTATTTGTCACAGAAATTCATAATGCAGTGGCTTAGAATCAGCAATGAATATGAGAATGTGACATATCAATGTGTAGGTTCCAGTGGGAGGTCGGTGTACAGGAGACGCTGGGGCCGAGTCATGTGTTGTTCCACTCGGCCAATCTAGGCACTCTACACCTCGCAGTCTACCTGCGCAGGGACTTGCTGTGGTTCTGCTCAGGTACTACACAGTGCAGTGCACCTTGACATCCCATCCATATGGACCAACCTTAGATTATTACTTACTTACTTACTTACTGCCCTGGCCATTTGTACCCCAGTCGGTACTTGGCCTCAGCAACACAGCGCCTCCATCCGTCTCTTTCTTCAGCATCCTCCTCTCCAATTCCCAGCCGCCTCTTAGCTATTTATTACAGCCCCTAGATTATTTATTACCTATTAAAAAATAACATAAGGAAAAATAACAGTGACAACTTTAACTTGGGAAGTTAGCAACTTCTGGTGGTTCAATTCAACTAGTTTTAAATTATGTGACAACTTTAACTTTGGAACTTTGGTAACTTGTTATATTGTTGTTGCTTTATGTGCTCATTTAATTGGTTTCTAATATTCGGAAAAAGCAAAAAAGGATTTTAAATCTTGATACCGTAATGCCTTTGAATTTTGATTTAGCCATAGCTTTGTTTATTACTTTTGCCATAACTCATATATGTTGCGACAATTTTTAAAATTAATCTTCACAAAAATTATATTATTGCTGTGAGGAAATTTAGGCAAAATACACCTATGGTGTATGTTATACAGATAAAAATACATTCAAAATCATTGATTAAGTTTAGTTTTGGTCATACATTTCACTAAATTATATTTCATAGATCCACACTAATGTCATACTTTTTTTGCAGTCCCTGAGGATGACAGTTTTAGCACTCGCCCCGGCACTGCGTTCCGCACCAAAGGCGCTGTTGCTGTCGGCTTCTCAGTGTTTGGGACGTCGTTGATGTTCATCACGGCACATCTGACAGCGCATCAAGAGAAGGTTAGAGATGGTTAAGTTAGGTTGGATTGTAGGGTAAAAAAGTGAAAGGATATGATTGTTGGCCAAGTTTAAAGCATGTAGCTTTTCTTCAGCACTGACACAAAATGCTTAATTAAAGAAAACAAACTACAAGCACTTTAGTAATATTATTTGCGTACCTTTTTTAGAAAGAACTCTGATACCGGAAGTTGATGTAAGCACAAGTGTTACTTTGAACAGAAAAGTTAAAAATTGAGTTTATCTGATGTAGGTTATTGTTTGTCTTGTTCACCTTTGTTTAAAAAACTGATTCAGGTCTATATATTTGTTATACACATTGTGTTTGTGGCAATAACATATATTTTCAATATTTTTTTTCCTTTTCAGGTCAAAGAAAGGTTGCAAGACATCAAAAGGATTGCCAAAAGTTTAGAGTTGCCAAAAAACCTTCCGGTCAAGCACAAAAGTAAAGGTACGGTAATATCACATTCAGGCTAATTAAACGTTATTTTAGAAAATTTTTTAAATACTGCTTACTGCGCAAAATCAATAGATTGCACTTGTCAAAAATTGTTAGCACTACATTTTAGGCGGATCAAGGATGTAGCTTTACATTGGCTATCTTCTGACATGTGCATAAATGCCAAAAAACTACATTTGATATATGCCCTACACACTATGATAAGACTCAAACATTAATTGGTACATGTAAATATCAATATCAGCCAATTTTATTAAATTTTAACCTGGATTAAGTTTAGTCTTTAGCTGGTACATGTGCTTCTGTTCACATGATTTTTGAAATCCAAGGAATGGAATAACATCCTCCCAAAATTGTTATAATGTGACAGTAGAATAACTTATTGGAAGAGTAACACTTTTGGGGGATGATTGCAGACGTTACTCAGAACTACGACTGTGTGTTCTGGAGTGGGGACCTCAACTTCCGTCTGACCCCTCCACGGGAAGAAGTGATGTCGTGGATCAACAAGCAGAAGTTTCCGCTCACCTCCCCCTCCCTGGGGTGTCTGGCGGACCAGCTGACGACGAGCATTGTGGACGGTGAGTCAGTGCTGCCAGCTGTTATGCGTTAAGGTCGTTTATTTATCATAATACCACTGCATTGGTTGTAAACTTACAGCTTGTCCATGCCTCTGATCTTGAGAGCTTCTTCAATTTCTTCTCCTCAAGAAAGTCATTTACATAACAATATCCTGGTTGAAAGAAAAATTTGTATTTTGATATAGTTTAGTGAACCCAATAGTGAGTAGGCTAATAATAGGCTAAGACTTACAGTTTAAGCCAATAGTTTTTCAAAATGCTCTACAGTTGTTTCTCTAAACAATATACTGAAGTTTTTCTTCAAACACTTTTTGATTGACTATAATATTGTGGTATAATAATACCTCGTTAAGTAATCCAAACGTTTTAAATGTTAGGTTAAAAACCTACTTCACTGTTAATACGGCATCGTCAGGGTACAAACACATAAAAGACATTACTGTCACACGTACACAATAAATAAATAACACAAACATTTTTTATTTCCATTTGCAGGCACAGTTTTCCGAGGGTTTGAGGAAGGGCCATTGACTTTCGCTCCGACGTACAAGTACGACCCTGGTACCTCCACATATGACACATCTCATAAACAGCGGACACCCTCCTATACTGACAGGTACCCTTATGAACTATAAATTAGTTAATAATAATTTACTGTTGCCCACACCCTCTTTAGGAATCACATGAATACAAATTGACAAGTTTCCAATATTTTACTCCTAGTACATAAATAGGCCCAGTAAGGATGGGTGACAAATATAAAAAATTCTGATTATATGTAATATGAATAATACAATTCTAGTTTTGCTTTTCAGTGTAGGCCTACTATTCCATGTGATGGACCTACTTTTTAAGTATCATGGAGTAACAGATGGAATTCCAATAACCACTAACACTTCTGGCAATAGCAATACCAGTAGAAGGGATGTCCCGGTTTATGTGCTAAGCTCCACCATGATTTTGATTTACATTTCAGCTGTTTTAATTGAATTAGCAATTATAGTTTGGCAGCTTAGAAAGCGACCTCCTCCAGCATTGGTTTAGCATTAGCGCGCAGGTCGTTTTCTAAGCGGCCGAACTATAGCTTATACTGCTTTTTGTGGAAGACTGGCAAGTTGCCAATAATAGTTTCCTTTAATTTATGCACTGATCCTAATTAACATTGATGCATCAGAAGCTGAAATGAGTGAAGTAAACTGGATTTTTGCAGTCACTTACCAAAGTTTGTGTTGCAGGATCTTGTTCCGCAGCCGTCGCCACAACACGGAGAGCACAGCGGTGGAGTGTGTAGCCTACGCTAGTGTGCCAGAGGTCTGTACCAGCGACCACAAGCCTGTGTGGGGTCTGTACAAGGTGCCTGTACGGCCAGGTCTGGACACGTGAGTACAAAAATATACAATCAAGTTCATTTAGCCATTTTTTGTTCAGTGTTTAAAAAACTCTACATATAAACCTGTTTTGAACTACTTTAGAGATTAAGTAAATTTCATGGTACAGAAGAGTCTCATTTACGGTATCTAATCTTTGGTTAAGCGAAAGGGACTTTCCATAGTTTCCTACACTCCCTACAGTTGTTTGAAGATTATACGACTGTTCACCATAGAAGTGAACCTCTTATGCGAGCCTGTCTGTACTGTACTTGGAAGACAAGTGTCAGACTTTTGGCATCTGCAGTTGACTGTACTATCTGATTGTTTTGCGAGAACTGCATAACACATAGATTATCAACAATGACAGGGGAAAAGAGGGGATGTGTAAATAGTGTAAGGGTGGGAAGTCTGGATCATAGATTTAATTGTGAATCCAAATCTCAAATGACAAAAGTAACTAAGCATTTTATTTTCTTCTAGGATACCTTTAGCAGCAGGAATGTTCAACAGGGAAGTCTACTTAGAAGCTATCAAGAGAAGAGCAGCAGCTATGGATTTGACTGATGGCGCATCAACCTTCTGTACCATTCAGTAGTGCCAACCATCTTCAATGGATTCGGTAGTACCAAGACTTCAGTAGTTGTCAACATGGTGTACACCAAGTGTGCCAAGATGTTCAGTAGTATCACTGCAAGCAACATCAACATCTCAACATGACAGAACATAAATAATCAACATACACTAAGGTACCAACATAACAAATCAATATACTCAAATTTTTATTTAAGGAATTTCGACTGTCATTTAGAAAAAATCATATACTTGTTATGATTAATTTCAAAATTTTTAATCATATTGTCTTTAAATATTCTTACTACTGTCAAAAGTATCAGAATATTGTTAACCAAAAGTATTTTTATTACCTGACATAAATTTATTAATATTTATTGTATAATTTTTACACTTTGTATACATTTTATTTAGATTAAAATGATTTTAGATGGTACGTTGTAATAATTTGAATGAAGTATATCTTACATAATTTTTATCTTGTGATACAAGTAAAAGATTAGCCATCTTAGGCAATGTCAATGTTAAGAACAGTAAAGCATATTCTTACATCAAGAGGGTCTGAGCTAGTCTAATAGAACCAATGTAGGTAGCCTATTTTTGTTAATGTATATTATCCTGTTGTGTCATTTAACAGACTAAGTTACTCTATGGTTTAAGATAGATGTAATGTATACATCTAATGGCATACATCATAATACACAAAATATTACATTTATTCTTCCTTCAAGGTTGCTGGTAAGGAGTTGTGTGTTCCTTTTATTTAGTTGTTTATGTGCAATAATTGTCACTAGTCATACTAGTTTTATTCGTCCCACCTTTACATTTTAGGACGCTAAGTTCTAGCCAGGAAATGTTTTACACATCACTTCAGGCTAGTCCTAGAGGGTCGCGGCATCATCAGATAGATAAAATCCATTGGTGATTGGCGGGATTTGTACCCGGGACCTCGGACTACAAAGTCCCGCGCTCTACCACTAGACTAGCCCACTCCCCGGTCATATTTGCTTGTACCAAAGACATAAAAGTGTGAAGGTGTAATTTTAATTTTTTAAATAATTGAATTTTTCAAAGATTTTATTCTGTGTATATTTTAAGGAAATGATTATTTTTCCGTCATCATTGGAAGAATAATTAGTGACCGAACAGAAACAAGCAACGGAGTGTCGTGAGAGACAGAGTAAAAAGAGACTGTTTATTTATTGACCTCGTTGTCAATGTTCCGGTAAACTAGGTTCTCAGCAGAATATTTCATTCTTCCCCCATATTTAAGTGAAAATTTTAATATGCTATTTCTGCAAAATTGGATATCACAAAGCCAAGTGACACTTTAACTTTGTTTAGTTTTTAATTCCTAATAGTGTAAAATACTCGCTCGCTTTCTCAGTCTGTCACTCTCTCATCCGTTGTTTTGCTTTGGGATCGTCCTAAGAAAAACATATTAAAGTGACAAGCTAAGTCTGAAGTAAAATGATCAGCTCAGAGTTTAGAATATAGTGATAGGAAAAATATGCGTAACAAGTTTGTGTAATGGTTTAACGTAAACACATCAATCTGCCAATGATATTCTGCCCTTTGCCAGAAGCGAATGTCAAACCTGTTTTCAATCTAGTCAGCATGTGAGGTTGTGGTATTATTAGTTAATTAATTTTACTTGAATATATTTTTACTGTACACCAAAGTAAGTCCATTGCAGTTACCAAACCATCTGCGTTACATTCCCTCAGAGTTTTAGGTTGTTGTTTGTTGTGACGTTTAATCATCAATTTGGTGTCGTGGTTAAAAGATTTAATTTAAACTTGATTTTTCATGTTTGTTTACCGTTTAGGTTTTTATGTGCAAAATTTTACATGTATTGCTTATTAGAAGACGGTAGGATGCAATTGATTAGCCTCTAGTTTTATCTCGATGACAAAAACTATTTTTGATGGGAGATTTGATTTTATCGGTGTTGTTCTCAGTGTGGTAGAAAATGTAATTTACAAACGCACAAATATGTTTGTGTGGAGCATTTAACTGTTTACAAATAATTGTTTCAGAGAGTTAAGAAGTATGAAACAAAGGAAATTCAATTTACTGTATAATAAATGTGGTTGAATTTGTAATTAGACCAAAATAATAATAAATTGATAATGTGATTAGTGAACAAAACTTTGTGATTTATTACTACTTAGCATGTGTATTTAACACAACTCGGTAGTAGAAGCAATATTTTTCAATTTCCCTATTGGATGTTTGGACATTATTTGTGTTAAGTAGCTATTTAAGTTTTCAAACTTAAAACATTTGTATCATTTAGTTTAAAACTAACTTTTACTGACTAATAGTATTTCACTAATTTTACAACAGTTTATCTAGTCAATGGTTTTTTTTTGTTGTATTCTGTGAAATATAACCGTACTATCTTGGTACATATAAAGTAGTTGAGTGCTATTTTGGTGCTAACACACCTAAATATCATTGTGATAGATTATTTTGGCCTCTACTTCTACTTTGGGAATCCACTTTTTATTGATGTGCCTTTCCATATCTATAAATGACATTTGTGGAGAATAACTCATAATAGCAATGTTAAGTATTGTCTTGTTACGTAGGTAATGACAGCTTTACTGATTGTTAAAAGTTGAAAATTATGTCCATAAGTAATAATTACTCTTAAATCTATCTGTAAGTGATAATCCAACTTGTGGTGGACCATATTATGTTTTAAGCTGTCAATATCGTTGTTAAAATAAAATCCTGTCTAAAACTTTGTTGTTAGTCCTGTTTTATATAAATTCAAGCAACTGTTATTGTAACTGTATGCTAGCAATATAGACTTGTCCATGTAAACAGTTGTACTTATTGATGTTTATTTAACAATTCATTTAACAATTTTACTGTACTTAGTACTATTACGTATGTTCTAAGTGTTGTCCTGTTTGGTGTTAATTCAAGCAACAAAGTTTGCTAGGGAACAGTACCGTACTTAACTTTTTCTAACTATACATCTGTAATGGGAAATATAAGTTTTATTATTTTTGTTAGTGAATTCTTAGATTCAAAAATAAAGGGGAAGACATTTCAAATAGTGTTCTCCATTCATAGTTTTCCCCTAAAATAATTATGTAAATACATATTGTTTACCACTGAAGTAAGATAATATAGTGCTAAAATTACTTACTTCTATTTCTAATGCATGTGCAAACAGGATTAACTTCTAAAATTTCAGATTTTGACATATTTAATAAGTAAGAAATAACTAAACGTACAAGATTTAGACACTGTTTTCAGTAGTTATGATAAAAGTAACCGATTTGTGACTTTTGGTACACTACCCTGAATGGATAGGCACATTTTACTCAGTAGGGAGTCAATTATTCGAAACAATTGGTCATCGGGGGTGTTGGGATAACAGATTTTTTAAATAATCGGTCATTGACCGTGAAAAAGATTGATAAAGTTTGAATACATTTTTACATGGATTTTTTAACTGGTTTTGTCTGTCTACTGAAATTGTAGCAACATCCCGTGAGCATATCTTGCGGTCTTGGCTTTACTGCTAATTATGGCAACATTTGTGATTTTCCGTTAACCGACGTTTCGGACGACCAGGCTTTAAATAATTGCCACTCTACTGTATGTTTTTGAATAAAAAGAATAAAAGGTTCGCTGCAGCTGGTTGGTCCATATGGTGTACTTTTATCATCCAAAGTTAATGTTTTAACTAATGTATGTTTATTATACTACCTAAGTTCAGAAAAGCCTTTCTGAATGGAGTTTTTATTATACAAATAATACTAGTCTTAGTGGAATGTCCTTTGAAACTATGTATATTAGCATAAATGTGAAAATCACAATAAACTGTAAATAGTTAGATTAATTGCTATACAGATAAGAATTTACTACGGGGCCGTAACTTTTTTGTAGTGCAAAATACATGTTTTCTATTTTCTGTAAAAGGTGTGTTAGTAAGGTTATCTATACCTGAGGTTTAGTGTTTCACAAACTATCTATGTTGTATTAAAGAAATTACCATCCTCACACTGTAGGTCCTAGTTACATTAAAGTTTGTAGCCTAAGTCTAATACCAAATTCAAGCAACGGTTAGTGGAGGAGAGGCCTAAGATGGAAGTTTTGTTATTTTAGTCATAGGTGATTTATTGTACTTAAGTGAAGTGTGAGTCAAAATGTAATGTTAAAGACAAGACAAATTGCAATATGTCTCTAAAGGGGAATTCGTACTTGCAGCATTGGCAAGTGCTGAATACTCGACAAGTTGCAAGATACTTGTGTTGGTTTGCCAATCTCCTAGCTGAGGAGCCCAAATATTTGTTACTTTCCAAGAATTTTGTTTGTTGGAGTAACAAATATTCGTCAAAATGGATGCAAACTTTGAAATCATTGTCGAGCAATGACATTCACAAAATGAACCATTCACCTTAGTCGTGATTAAGCAGGTATCTGCTTAGTGCTCAGCAAATGCCGAATGTGCAAACACGCCTTAAGGGGAATGTAAATCTACCACTTGGTAGCAGGAAAAAATCTTCAAAAGTTCATTGATACAAGAAATTCTTGCAATATGGACATTGTTGGTGTAAATTAATTGCTAACTTTACAACGGCTCAATTGACTAAATGAGCTGTATATAGGCTCCAAATTAATACACAAAATATGAATGCAATAAACATCCATGCATTACCTAATCCGTGTGCTTCATTACCAACTAGTTTTTATTTTCCATCTCCTGGTTAGTAGTGTCAAGTAATCAAACGTGCCACATTGTAACAAGTATTTCATTATTTTCACTTGTCCAAACATACTAAAAGTGTACAAAGTTAGCTGCCTTCTGTTGAAACTACTTATCATGACCTGCAAGTGAACAGCAGAGTTTTACAATTGTGAAGTTTCTAGACGGTTTCAAAAGAAGTTGGGACTATAGTTCGGCCGCTTAGAAAACGACCTGCGCGCTAATGCTAAACCAATGGTGGAGGAGGTCGCTTTCTAAGCGGCCGAACTATAGCTGTTTTCCCATGCACAGATTGCTGCTTGAGGTCATTAAATCACAAAGCCATTGAGGATCAACCCTTGCCTTTTTACTGCCTTTGATTTTATCTAAGTTAGATCACTTTGCACTTAACTCAGCTCACTTCACAATCTGAATGTTGGTGTTTCACTGTTTGTTTTCCTGGTGCTAAGGAGGAACTATTCCTCTCTATGACTGTGTTATTTGTGTAGTAACAAATTAGGATACTATATTTATACGATAATGTCTGTGACATATTTGAGGATAAAGACATAGTGAATTTCAAAAGACACTTGTAGTGTTAGTCTGAAGTATTCGTTGTTCATGCCGATTCAAATTCTAACTTTACTTTTTCACAATTTCTGTCTGCATTAAGTCTTCTTGCTGACTGCTATTAATCTTCGAAACATAATGTTGCTGTGTTTTCAATTTTAAAACATTGTAGCCAAACCTTATTAAGCTATTTTTTCCCTGTTAAAGCTATTTATAAACAAATTTCAGTGTAGTTAGGTATAAGACAAAAATGTCATGGTACTTTGACACTATTCATGTAAATATGTATTTACAAATGAATAAAGATCGTTTGATTTGATTTGATACCCAACTAAACAAGTTCTATAAATAAAGATTCAATCTGAAACTATGAACAAATGTATATTAATAGCATTGTAAAAAAAATTTTGCAATAATTTGTCCTATATTTGTCATAATCTTTTTACCTATTCTGTGTCAATTAATTTAATGTTTTCACATAATTGTTTAGTTAATAAAAACTTCACAGCATTTTGTTATTTTTATTCCCTTATTTACCCTACATACCTGTTTGTGTTAGATATAAATCCACTCTCAAGATTAGACGGGAGACTTTGGTTGGGCCATCTAATTTAAACACGCCTAAAACAGAACATATCGTAGAAATAATTTAACGCGATGTCATAGTAACTGGTTGGCGTCAAGAGAGGGATTTAGCTTGCTTAGGTCTGAGCTCACTGTGGTTGACGACATCTACGTTCTCATAGGACACCCGCTTACAGAACACAAGAGATAACCAAAGCAGTATGAGAACGGATCTATATATTTAAATATTGTAGATTAGTAGATTACTTTTAAAATTTGTTTCAACATAATAGTTTTCACAAATCAAGTCATAGAAATTACTTTAGAGTGACTCCATGATGATTGAGGTTTTGCTGTTAATGGTTTTTTGTTCTTCATTATTTATTACAAGTACAACTTGCAGTTTTGCTCGATTTCGAGCAACTGGTTATCTAGTTAAAATTATAAGCCAATCATCGGTCTCAGGTAAGAGACACGACTCTCGGCTTCTCAAACAATAATGTTGAACTCTGTTGAAGACTTCGGTTGTTGGTTCTGAACTTAAGTTAAAGCCTCTAAGGCATGGTAGTCTTGTATTTTGTATCAAAAAATCACTGCGAGAACCAAAACGGACATAAAGGTGTCTTTGTTCAATCTCGCGTATTTAATATGATATAAGTGTGCGTAGTTTTCAAGATATCTTTTTATTATAATCTTTCTAGCTGAAGCCAATTTTATTTCTATTCTTAACACATTAAATTAATGATAGTGATATACGCAACTTAGAGTGAATAACTAAACTAGCGGTGACTAACCAACCAAACTGCTAGCGCTTCATTTGTCAGCCAGCGGCGAATACACGAACTGCTACTAGAGTTACCACTCATCGCCGCAAAAGCGCTAGCTGTTTTAGTCTTCTTCTCCTTAGTTGATATAATCATTGACTTTATATCTTTATATCATAAAAATGATTATATGATGATTATATCATAAAAATGATTATATGATGATTATATCATAAAAATGATTATATGATGATTATATCATAAAAATGATTATATGATGATTATATCATAAAAATGATTATATGATGATGATGATTATATCATTGACTTTGTAATTAAAAATTCCCCCGCCGCAGCAAACCGCGTATATCCATTTCCCATTTAAATAACATTTCTTTTGATGAGAACTTAGAAAAAAAAAAACGTTTTGGTAATTATGGAGATCATCTGGAGAGTGTTGTTGTTTTTGTATTCACAAATAATTCAGTTTGTAACATTTTCCTAAAATAAAAGTTGTTAATACGTTTTAAAACTTCATTGACACTTTGGATACTGCAAGAAGACATCCATCATTTATATGAACCAACTAGATGGCCCGACAGACTCCGTCCTGTCGTAATGTGGATTTATGGCAAATGCTCGTTTATTTTCAAGATGAGCTCGTTTGCATGGCTCAATCACATCCTGGTTGAAGTTCGTTCGCTACGCTCACTAACCTTAGCGAACGTTCACTAACTTTAGTGAACGTAGCGAACGAACTTCAACCAGGACGTGATTGAGTGAGCCATGCGAACGACCTCATCTTGAAAATGAACGAGCATTTGACATATAACCACATTAGGACAGGATGACGTCTGTCGGGCCAGCTAGTTACATTTAAATATGAGTACTCATAAGGTTAACATGGGAAACTCCAGAGCCACTGGGGCGGAGCCCTTTTGACGGATCTGAACCAAACTTCACACAAACCATCCTTGAATAATGCTTAATAATGCCTGAAAGTTTCATTACAATCTGTTGAGTGGTTTCGGAGTCCATAAATAAGGACAAACAAACAAACAAACATACAAACAAACATACATTGGATTTTATATGTATAGAAGATACCCATGACTTTGGATACTGAAGGTAGACATAAGTATATTCCATTTTACGTGTACATCACGTACCATTGACTTTGGATACTGCAAGTAAACATTTAATCAATGAGAACCAGTTACCAGATGGAATACTTTGGATACTGCAAGTAGATTTCTCATTTATGTGAAGCAGATTAGGTAGATGTAAACTAGATTTAGCATTGACTTATATCCTTATTATCAGGGCCGCGAAAGGGGGGTCTACATGCAATGATTTCGCGAACCTTTGATCTGCGCAGGTAAAACGTTGCAGTCAAGTCGTTGCAAAAAAATGCGTCCACACGGTACAGGTTTCAGCACCAACTTTTAATGTAGTTTTGTGATAACTTTCAGTGTATGTGCATGTGGAAGATGGGTTACTGTGGTCAATTCCTGCAGCCAGTATTACAAGAAAGCAAAGAAATAAGTCTGAGCGATGACGGCACTAACTATGGTGAAGACGTTGGTTACTTAGTTACTATTGGCTACTATTACTATTAGTTTTGCGGTACACACGCAACGATTTGACTGCAACGATTTACTTGCGCAGGTTGTTGCTATTAACTGTGCATTTTTGAGAACTGCGTGGAGACGGAAGACGGAGCGATAAAACTATTGCGGAGAGCATAGTTTTGACAACGTTTTCAGACAAGTCGTTGCGTGTGTACACTGCCATCAGTTTCAACCCCGTCTTCACGCTCAAAACCCCAGTATGCAGTGTTCACGTGCTGTCAGAGGTATAAGTGTGTGTTTTAATTACAAATGGCAGATCTTTGCCAATGTTCCCGTGATGTTGTTGTTGAATTCATTGAACTGTACAGAAGTTTTCCTTATTTATGGGGGGTCACGAGTAAGGAACAAAGTGACTGTGATAAGAATGTGAACGGGTAAACTATTATGAATTGGTTGTCTTTTTAGTAACCAAACGTCTTGACCATAGTGAGCACCGTCGTCGCTCAGACTTATTTCTTTGCTTTCTTGTAAAACTGGCTGCAGAAATTGACCACAGTAACACATCTTCCATGATATTACATGCACATATACTAAAAGTTATTCCAAAACTACATTAAAAATTGGTGCTGAAACCTGTGCCGTGTGGACGCATTTCTTTGCAACGACTTGACTGCAACGTTTTACCTGCGCAGATAAAACGTTCGCGAAATCCTTGCGTGTAGACCCCCCTTAAGGGTCAATGGAGCCCTGGGCAAACCCAAAAGCAGTGCCCCCATTTTTTCCTAGTGCGGGCAGGCAGTGGTTGAGGGGCACCTGGTGGGCACCCCCAAACCTTCGGCGCCCCTGGGCATATGCCCAGTCTGCCCGTTTATAAAAGTGGGCCTGCTTATGCACTGCAAGTGTACATCCCGATGGCATTATTTACATTAACCAGTTGTAGCATTGACTTTGGAAAAGTATTGGAGCATTTGGAGTAATATTTTAGCTCCGCTCGATATTGCAAGCAGACAAATTTATTTATCATTTGGTATAATGTCTTGGGCAAATGCATGGTGGAAGGAAAATACATAGGTGTACTATTCTCTTTCACCATGGTATGTAAGTGTTTTCGGCGAAGCTTCTTCACATTTTTCAGTTAGTTATGGAGTATGTTTTATCTATGGTAATGATATTTTAAAAATCAAGCAATGCAATAAAACTTTCAACTTATTCAACCAGTTTTTTTTTTCATTAGCATGTGATGTTAGTCCCTATCTGCCTTTCAATAAATCCTGCAAAATAACAAAAAAAAGTAAAAGAGCATGAGAAAAGGCAGAAGGGAAGAAAATTTAATTAGGCTAAGCAATTGTATTTCACATTTCACCTTCATTAATTTATCACTTTTCGTCATCAATCTAATCTTTCAATATTGTATCTATATCAGCATGTCAACCCTGTAATGTCAACCCTGTAAAAATGGTGTTATACCGTGAACAAATAAATAAATAAATAAACTGATTTAAAGGGTCTTTATTACAATATTATATCATTGGACGCACGGGGTAAATAAAAGCAGTTGTTTTAAGTTGAGTCATTTTTAGCGTCTGTGGTGGCTGTACTGACAATAAATCAACATGGCAGAAAAACTGTTGTGATTGGTTGGTTAATTCGCTGGGTTGTCGTTGTCGCGTTGCTGTCGTCGACCGTCGTCGTTTCAAGTTTCATTACCTGTATCGTCTTGTTGTGGTCAAAATTGTGCAGTTTTTAGTTTTAGTGCAATTATGTGTAAATTGTTTACCGTATAGTGAATCAAGAATGAGTTATGTGAATGTCTAAGAAGTGAATTTTGACCTGTCACTATGTAAATTGCAAATTAGTTTAAATTTTTTATCAGTTTAGTTTCATTTTATACTTCAGCCTTCGCATTGTTTAAAAACCCAATCTGTGATTGCTTTTTAGTAAAGATAACTTAGCCTAAGTTGTTTTTAATAACTTACTCATCAGTGTAATGTCAAATGCATAGTTATTTTTTTGAAAGTGCTTCCTAGAATGGATCACATATGGAGAACTATTGGAATTCTCGGATTTGAAATATTTGGATTATGCACTAGTCATCCCTTACCATATCACAACCTAAAAGGTAAGAATCATATTTTTACTAGCTTTTTTCATATTTGATAGCTTACTAACTTAGGCTTATATCAAATTGGAAATAAACCGTTGTTAATTTAAATGTTTAGAGTACGGTAGCTTACGGTCGGTCTTGGCCTAGGCCCTAGGCCTAACTTAGGCCTAGTATTTTTTAACTAAGTTTAGCTTGGGCATAAGCCTAGCCTAGACTTAATTCTAATTCAGCCATAATTCCTTAGTAGGCCTAAGTAAGCCTATTTTAATAGGCTAGGACAAAAACTGTCAGTAATGGTATGTTAGCCCAGTCAATGGTTAGCCTAAGATAAGTTAGGCCTAAGTTAATAAGTGAAGCTAAAAACTTTAACTAAGATGGCTGCACTTTAAGACTCATTGGTTGCACTTTTGATGCTGTCCTACATATTAACTAGCCTATTATATATTAACTTACCAGCTGATGATACAGTTCTAAACTAACTTAAACCTAACCTTACTTAAGTTAACTTACTTACTCCGGGTACACTTCCATATCATCTGTTGGCACAAACAACCGAATGAAAATATCGATCGATATGTCGATTATTCGATATATCGTTTGGTTAGTTAGTTAGGTAAGGTTACCCTAACCCAAAAAAGAAATACTTCACAACCTACAACCGTTCAAGATATATACAAGTTAAAAATAACTTCCAGGGATGGAAAGATGGCTACCCTATGTTTGCTATCTCCTTATCGGTCTTGAACTTTGAGGAGCTATAATAACTTAGTCTCTCTCTTTCATTACCGTAGCGACATAAGCTTTTCCTTGAGATAACCTCTTTTCTAGCCCCTAATGGCCATCGGCAGATTGTTAAAGAACTTAAGACCCTGAATTTGATATGTGGGGGCCTAGCAGCTGTATTAGAGAGCCTAACGCAAGGAATATTCAGCATGTTTCTCTGCCTGGTGGTATAGGAATGGACCATGGCACGGGACGTAAGGTCTCTATGTTTATCCCAAACATGACGAAGGCACAGGAGAATGTAATGACCGTAGATAGTAGGTAACTTACTTAATTCACAAAAAGGGGCCTACTGTGAGCTCGTCCGTCACTAAAGGTGAAGATTCTTAAGACCCTTTTAACTGCATCTTGAGAACCTTCACTGTGCCTGAAGAATGTCCCCACAAAAGCAGTCAATATGTGACTTGGCAATAGAATAAAACCTAACCAAATATGCAGTATGTATATGAGTAAATGTAAGACAGAAACTAAAGTGCAGCCATGTTTGGTTAGGTTTGTTAACAGCAGTTTTATTTTATAATCAGCTGGTTTTTAGTTAATGTACAATGTAGCTTATCCTATAATAGTTAATGTGGTGCGTTAACTAAAGTGGCCCAACATTCTAATCCAACCGACCTTCAAAGGACTTAATACGAACCCAAAACCCTGCCTACCTATCTCACATGTCTTTTATGCTATTTAAACTATTTTGGTGCTATGATCCAATAGGCCTATATCGGATCACGGCTTTTTCACGAAAAGTGCTAGGATCTGATATGTAAGACGACGTTACTTTGCCGAACAATGCTAAGATCCGATGTATCATATTTTACAATAATGCATACCGGTAAGTTATGTCTCTGCTGTACTGTCATATTTATTGTATAAAAGCTATAAAAAACACCTTATTACCTTCCCTGTATCAGCCAACCTAAGTAGGCCTACTCGGTTAACTAATGCTAGATTTAAATAGGGAATGGATATGAAATTTTTTAGGAGATATTTTAGCGAAAATCCAATTAGGTAAATGGAAATTGGCTTTGTCTGCAGGTTTGCTGCGGCAGAGGTATTAATTTTATTTATGACTGACAATTAGGCCTACAGTAGGCACCTACCTCACTACAAGTGCAAAAGAAAAATGAACTGAACAAAAAACAAATCCATTTAACAAAACTCAAAATTGTTGTAAGGATGTTCATAAGTAGACCTATTTGCAGGTTTCTTAATACGGTATATAATTATTTTGTTAAGTGAATAAAAAACTATTTTGTATATTTTGATGAAAAGGGAACTCGTTACAGACTCTTGGAAATTGGGAATTTTGTTTATGTAAGTTAATTGCTCAGGATGATTAACATTTTTGTTACTGTACGCTACCGGAGTTTTCAATGGACAAAGCATTATTATTGAGTTTTGCCACCTTTACTGCCCTCTTAGCGAATTTCCCAGATAGGGAATAAGCTATTACCAAAGTACTCATGGTAAGACCTGGACCCGAGACCGATTTACCTTTTCGTTTTGAGGCACAGAGGTCAAAAAGGCTGCACTTTAGTTTACCGGTACGTCCAAATGCTTCCAAATTTTGAATTTGAATTTTGAGATTTAAAGAGAAAAGTATATTTTTAAGGCAAAGGTGTTTATTTTATTAGGCTCCTGAATATTTTCATTACCGGTAACTATCCGGAAGAAAGGCAATCATGATCTAAATAATGGAACGTTTCAATACAACAAAACACATCCTCTTTGGGAATGTTACAACAATAGAGAAGCAGGCCGTGAGTTGAATGTGAGGTGGTGAAACCGTCTTCAGCATTATCCTACACCCAAATACCTTGGTGTCATACTGGGACCGCACACTGACATTTAAGGCGCATTGTATTGCTACAAGAGGTAAAGTCTCAGCGAGGAATAATATCATCAGGAAGCTCACCAGCAGGTGCTGGGGTGCTAACCCTAATGTCCTCAGAACCTCAGCTTTAGCGCTCAGTGTGTCGGCTGCGGAGTACGCTGCACCAGTATGGAATGCATCGACATGCAAAAAAGGTTGACATTGCAGTCAATGACATGGCTCGGATTGTACCTGGTTGTTTGAAACCAACCCCAGTACACAAACTCTATCCTATCATAGGGATCGCCCCTCCATCAATCCGACGTGATGTCGCTGCTAACACAGAAAGGACTAAGCAAGAGACAGACCCTTGTCACCCATTACACGGCCACCAACCTGCAGAGCGACGGCTTCGGTCCAGAAAGAGCTTTTTATCACGGACACGAGTCCTGGATGGATCACTCTCAAGCAATCGGGTGGCAAGGTCGGAGGCTACATGCGAATGACAAAGCCATATCGGTAGCTAATTTTTGGAAAAGCGAAGTCTGATTTCCGGACACAGAAAGTAAGTAAGGTAGATTAATGTATCTGCGATATTAAAATTCTATGGGAAGGGAGGGAAATAGGTCTACGACGTAGGAAGTGGTGAAGGAAGTAGTCAAGGCGAGAACTCCGTAGTGTGGGAACCCTTTGTGACAGTTAGATTAATGTAACTGCAATTGTAAAATGCTATAGGAAGGGAGGGAAACAGGTCCACGACGTAGGAAATGGTGAAGGAAGTAGTTTAAGACAAGCAGTCCGGAGTGTGGAAACCCTTTGTGACAGTTAGATTAATGTATTTGCAATTATGAAATGCTATGAGAAGGGAGAGAAACAGGTCTACAGCGTAAGAAGTCATAAAGGAAGTTTAGTCAAGGCGAGAGGTGTGAAGTGCGGGAACCCTTTGTGACAGTTAGATTAATGTATCTATCTGCGATACTAAAATGCTATGGAAAGGGAGTGAAATAGGTCTACGACATAGGAAGTGGTGAAGGAAGTAGTCAAAGCAAGAAGTCCGGAGGGTGGGAACCCTTTGTGATAGTTAGATTAATGTATCTGCAATTATAAAATGCTATAGGAAGGGAGGGAAACAAATCTACGACGAAGGAAGTGGTGAAGGAAGTAGTCAAGGTGAGCAGTCTGGAGTGTGGGAACCCTTTGTGACAGTTGGATTAATGTAACTGCAATTGTAAAATGCTATAGGAAGGGAGGGAGGTCCACGACGTAGGACGTGGTGAAGGAAGTAGTCAAGGCGAGCAGTGCTGTGTGTGGGAACTGTTGGTGGCAGTTGGATTAATGCATCTGCAACCAATGACTTTGGTTAATTAATGAACGAGAAGTTAGGATTGTTGTCGACTGAGATTTGGTTGATTTGCCCATGCAAATTACATTGTGTTCACCAATGACACCGGTAGGCTAAGTAGGCTAGGTGCGGGTGGACTCTTCCATCGTTGCGCTCACTTTCACTCATCCCGTTACGCGCAGAATAAGTGTACTTCTAGTTAAAGCAATAATATCAACAGAGATTTCACTGGCATGGGTTTTAGATATAATTATTTTACTATTACCTAATGAATGAACACATCTTCATAAGTGTTAAAACATCCTACTGAGTAATTCAATTGTCACCGTAGTAATTTTCCAATGTAAACTGTAAAAAAAAATCATAGTCAATCAATAAATTATAAGTCATATAAGCTTTTTAGTCTATTAAACAAGTGTATTTTATTATGAATGTGTGGGCCAAGATGACAATGGATTGTTTCACTGGTGCCAAGTGTTCTAGGAAGGCAGGTTCCATGATATGCCAAACTGTTACAAGACCCTTGATAATGTAACATATTTTCATTTCTAATTTTAATGTGATAGTACGTGAAACTTATACCAACTCATTTCATTTTCATTCACCTATTTAAAAGTTATGTAAACTTAATCAACTTTAATCTAAATTTTTTCGCCGCCAAAAACTGTTTGGCAAAAATATAAGTGGGATAGAAATAGATTGGTTAATCAACCTGTTGTTTACATACAATAATTGTATAATTTTGTGAAAACAAATTTTCTTAATTGTAGTGATCGTAAAAGCTTCTATTATTATTTTTAAACCATTTTGGTCTTGAGTGAGAGGCGAGACCAATTCGAGGTGGGCATATGTGGGCATTTTGAGTGGGCAAGACTCATCGGACGGTCTTATTTTACTTGGCCATTATTGCCTGCCTATTGTTAGTCTCTCGTATTGGATACCTGCATGTTAGGGTGTAGTTATCTGCCCACAGAATTCTATAGTGGGATTTGGCTCATCTAGTGGTTTAGAGTAGGCCTACGTCAGACTTCAGTCTTGGATGCTGAGGTTCAAATCTCTTCTGACTTTATACGATGTTACTCT